TACTTATTGCTTTACATAGAAGGTATGTTTTCATTTTATTTCTCTTAAAAGTTCTATTAACAATTAAAGGGAAATGGTTGAAATTTTACTCTTTGTCTTCTCAAAGGTGTATTATAATATTTAAGTGTAAGTTAAGTCTTCTACTTACCACAAGAACACTACATTGGAGATCTATGAATATGGCTTGATTTGTTTGTTTTATTGTTTAGCATTTATCAACCAGGTACATACAAGAGGTGTTCCAGTAAATCTTTCTTCTTTGAGGGCTTGGGGGAGTGAGAGTATTCAAAATCCTTTCAGGGTATATGTACATTTTCCAAGTTTTGCCTTTGCCTGAATTTTTGGGTTGCTAACCTCTTGGTTTGAAATCCACTAACTGTAACTCTTACTTCTAATTCTCTTGTATCTACCTGGATTGTCATTACTGGTCTTACCTCCAAGTTGCTTTTTTTCACTATTCAGCCCTGTTCTATGCTCTCCAATCAGCTTTTTATATTCTTCCCAGTTTTAACTCCCTTCTTATTCTTACACGTTTGTAGTCTCAGAAAAAAAGTACTTAAAATTTCCTTTGTCTTTTTTACATTTGTGAACTTTGGCCAATACATTTAATCCTGATGCCTCTCTGTAAATTTAATCCCTAAGTGTACTTCAAGTCCTAGCTACAAGATGATCTTCCCCAACATCACGTAACATTTTCCAGTGCTGTCTCTTATTAAGCTGCTCCACTAGATTGTCCCCAGATCAAGAGTTGTCCCTTCTTGCATTGAATTCCCAAAGTGTTTCTCTTTTTTATTTTTGGAAATTACTACTTATTGCTTTACATAGAAGTTATGTTTTCATATGCTTATTTCTCTCAACTTTCTATTAACAGTTAAAGGGAAAGGGTTAAAGTTTCACTCTTTGCCTTCTCCATGTTGTATCATAATATTTAAGTTTAAGCTTCATATTAGATGGTATTGAACAGGTCACTTAAGGTGAATTGATGGATAAATCAAAATTATGTTTTAATTTAAGAGTCTTATTGAGATAATTTAAATCACATATACTTGGGACCACACAAGAAGATTTGAAAACATGCACCAAACTGAAGATTTCTCTACAACCTCTACAAAACCTCTTTCCAATGATAAATTCCCCCAATTTTTTTGACTTACTTGCAAGGATGTAAGGTGGGATGACTGTAATCATTCTCAATATTACTTATACATCAAATATTAATGGCACAATCGACTCAAGTTTTATAATGTAGCAGGATTATTAGTTATGTGTTTGTTGGAAGTAATGACTTGGCTAATTAGTTTTTCAGTGTATACTTATTTAACACTCAATAATCAAGGGTTTTTTCCCCCAGAAATAGGATATCCATATTTTTTCCATTCTAGCCTTTTCCATTCTAGTGAATGCAAGGAATATAGGAAGAAAATCTGGGGTAATAAGAGAGATTTTTTTTTACTTGTTTTCTCTATTCTATAAACTGCCTTTTCTATACAGTGTCTCATCTTTTGGTACATTGTGCCAGTTTTGGAGCACCTATATTGTGGTAAGACTCAAAGCCAACTCTCCTATGGTTAGTATATTCTAAATACAAAAAAAAATGCCTGTATGGTTTATTTGTACACTGAATACTGAGAAAGAAGTGCAAAATGCTTCCACTCAAGCCTCTAAAGATAATATACTGGAAACATTTGGGTGGGTGTGAATCACTCAGACAAGCATTCTTCACTCAAAAATAGAAACTTGCCTTATTTGTTCCAGATGTTATACAGCTGCAAGGATGTTAAAGCCAGTGGTCCTGTTTTCAATGCAACCAAACTCTTATTGCATTTGGAATTTCTTAGCCAATGAACTCATATTACTTGTTCTAAGACCTGCACAATTTTCTTTTTCCACTCTTACCATTCACAAGCAACTGTTTTTTGTGGGAACTATATTTCAGAATTAATGAGCCTACATCTGTGTTGTACAAAGGAAACACATCCTGTTTATCCCTGCTTCCAACTTTCATTTATCTTGACCTCTTTAATTTTAAATATAAAGTATTTCAAGGAGAGTACTTGAAAGCACAGCAAAGCGGGCTGGGATGTATTTGCCTCACACTTTTACAGCACCTTAACAGATGGATTTAGGAGGTGCTTGTGTTTGGGAGGCTTTTAAGCAAAATTTTTCAGAAAAACATGGAGTATAAAATGGAATTCTTATCATCTAATTTGTAATTTCACAAATACACATTTTATCTTTTCCTCCTATAGAGCCAATAGATAATATTATATTGGGTGCACAAAATATCAGACATCATGGTTCTTTGAAGAGAATGAGTAAGAAATCGTGCATGAAAATTACATGCTAATTTTATATGTGCTCCATAAAATTAAAATCTATCTGTTATTTTACTTTTATTGGAGATAGTATTCCAGATTTCTTGAGATCATTGTCTTTTTATGGAGACAGTTTTCTTAAATAGTTAATCTAAGTAATCATAATGGCTACCTATTAAAGCAGGCACTTCTCCACTCAGTTGAGTCTGAGCTTTGGAGGGACTCCAGAGGTCAGAAACAAAACAAAATAAACAAGTAAGCAAATCTTTATTTTCCAGTTGTGAATATTAAAATCCAGGAAGGCTAACTGAATTTATCAAGACCAAACAACCAGTTGATAGCAAAATAAGGCATAGATATTCATTTACTGATATTCAAGTCAGTATTTTTTTTCTAAAACTCTGAAATTAATTTTGAATGTTCAAAAATGTATAATTAAGATACAAGTATAAAATAGATCACAAGTAAAATAAAAAAATACCCAAATATCATCAGATAGTCACTGAATGGTCCTTTACTCTTACCACTCATTAACTAAATCCTTACTCTTCCTTCAAGATTTGGAAACCTTTTCTTAAAATTCAGATGTTTTTCTTTCAAAAGACAAGAGGTAAATGTTATATTTCCTGTATTGTTGACTAAATCTTTGAAATCTCACTATAGATTATTTTGGAAATCAAAGTTTTAGTTAAAATTCTTTGAACTACATTCAGTAACAGTTTCCCTTCAATAATAATTCTAAGTCCATAAAAATAATTCATGACATACGTTCTTTTTTGAATGACATAAATTCTTGAAATATGCTATTTTAACAACTGGACACCTTGATAGAGATTAAATATTATCATTCAAAACTGATTGAAAGATTTGTCTTGCATTTCCTCATGAATATTAATGATGTTATGTACATAGCTTAGCATTCTGAAGGAAGTTTCTGAATACTATTTATTGTTTAATTAATGTTTAGTTTTCTATACTTGCCTGAACTATTCACATTTTGACAGCCATTAGTAAAGAGGCACTGCTGGAGATAAGGCACGTTGATAAACATTTTTCATACTTATACATTTATAGTAAATATGGCTCTAGAGATTTTCTGATTTTGTATCTTATTTCACTCAGAACCCTGAGACTAAAAAAGAGTAGCATTCTTTGGAAAGAGTTAGCATGTGTCAGAACTGTTTATTTATTTATTTATTTATTTGTGTGTGTGTGTGTGTGTGTGTGTGTGTGGCCGGCTCAGCCTGCCTGGGGGTGGGGCTGGCTGGCATGTGGTGCTGGGGGATTGAACCGCGGTTCATGTACTTTGCTAAGCTTGTTTTAAGTAGGTGCTTTAGACCACTGAGCCATCTCACCAGCCCCAGAAACTGTTTAGCTGTCCATCTAAGCCTCTTTTTTTCTCTGTCCCATAAAAAGCTAAAGCAGGGTGCATGGTCCAGGCCACCTGAAGAAAGATTACAGTATCGTCAGACATCGCCAAATGGCTCCCCTCATGTAACAGGACTTGAGAGAACAGTTGTGTAGCAGCTTTTGGGAAACCTTAAAAAGAGGGGAAGGCAGGTCTTTTGTAGCCCTTCTTGCCTCCTTCCTCCCCTGCCACAGGCACTCCGGGGACGAGGGTTGCCCTGTCTAGATGACGAGAGAGCTGCCAGCTCAAACTTGGCTTGCCTCTCGCTGGACTCACATGTGGGAAAGAGGTCTCGATGCTGTTGAAATCACTAACTTGGGCTTTCTAATACTTGCAGCTGATGGATTGCAGGCATAATCCATTTATTGCTATAGAATTTCATTCATTTAGTTTTTGGACACATTGTTACTGAGCACATCAATGTACCAGGAACTGTATTAAGTGAATAAGAAAAAAGGAATTTTGATTTTGAATCTCTACAAACGTTTAGGAAAAACAATAAAAACCCTGATGCTTCTTTTTTAATTTTGTCTCATCCTTGCCTCTACACCAAGTATCACATAATTCTTATTTTCCTCAGTCCAAAAGAATATTTTTCTTGTCTTTGGATTATAGACTGATATTGTCATGAGAATGTGAATAATTTTTTACAAATATTAAAATAACATCTAAACAATCCAAGTACCACATGATATTAAGTCTCAACTTTCATCCTCAGATATCAGTTCATAATAAATAGTCATGATACAATAGCAACCTTTTAAAACATTTCAGATGAAAATATTTATTCTTTTAATTAATTGAAAATATTGTAGAGCATGTTTTTAAGATACTTGAAAGATAATGTGTTTCCTAAATGAACATTTAGATATATGTTAAGGGCCATATTCTTTTTTAGTCTTAGACACATATAAAGAGATGCTAAAATTCCAGATATAAATGTGAGTTTAGAGTCTCTCCAAAATAAATCACCACACTACCACGAGCAAATGCAGCTGGACATCGCACCCACTGATTCATCTCATTCTGCTGCTTTTCATGGAGAGGTTTTCTCATATGCAAAGTCTGTTCAAATTCTCCCTGAACTCTTTCTTATTAATTTTTGAAAATGAATTAAGCTTTATAGTTTTTCTTTCTAAAGAATGTATGCACTTTAAGTTTTAAAGCAGTTTTTCCTTTCTAGTGTAAAACATCTTAAGGTGTCAGCTATTCAACTTTTGGATATAGTACAAATACAATAGAATTTGCAAAGATATATAAATATGAACCAGGATTACCTTTGGATCCACACTGAGAATTTTTCTGTCTTTTTTATATTTGAAAAGTAAGCCATCTGGATTGTCATCAATCACTTGATAATTGGGACTTGAATTACAAATAGCTATCTGACTGTCCCAGTTGTAAAAGCTGCAAAAATAAATATTTAGCAAGAATTAGGACATATAATGCATTAAGTTAACATGTATTTTAGAAAGTATTTGGAGAAGTTCAGACTCAATATAAATGGATAGGAACAGCATATATAATCATATAGAAAACATCTGAGATTTAAATTCCAGCACAAGGAGTTAGATTGGCTTAACTTTCAATTTTAAATATATACTGATCTTCCATGGTTTTCTGGTTTGAACACTGTAAGACCTGTCCCAGTATTATATTCATGCAAAGTCAAGAAGAAAATTGATACAATTTATGGTCATTAGTTCTATTGCAAACTGTTCAGGGTGCAAAATGATGATTTGCTGGAAGAGAAGACAAGTTAAGACACCTCTTTACAGTTAAAAAAATTTCAAATTAATCTGTTTCTTTCAGGCTTTCCCTTTCAATATATATCCCAGTGAACTGGGTATTCATGTATGTGTGCTTGGCACAGGGCAATACCCCTATGAAGCTGCTGTCACAGACAAGGCAAGGATAAGAGGCCAGGTCAACCAGTTAGACTGGAGTCCTGCGGTGACCAGGTCATGTAGATAATATTTCAGCCCAAATCTGTGTGTTTCAGAGCATACATGTGCACTTTCAGTTATTCATCCTGCTTTCTAGCATTTTATCACTTTAAAAATCTTTTTACAGAATTTTTGTATTTTTCCACACAATATTTTATATGACTTGTCAGAACTTAATATAATACTGTCATTTGAATTGGAAAAATCCTCCTTGTACTTAAATTTTTGTGTATCTATTTCCTATTAATACATTTCTAGGCTGGGGATATGGCTCAGTAGAATAAGCACTTCCTTGGTAAGCACAAGGGCCTGGGTTCAATCCCCCATTCCACCAAAAAAAA